AGGGGTCTCGTCTCTGTTGTACTTATTGTAGTACGACCTTTTTTTAAGTGATTCACCATAATCTCTCTAAGCCGTATTTAGGCCCTGACCCTAAATGTGCATTTAAAAAAAGGTTTGGGATATTTTGGTTTATTTATTTGTGTGTGTGTGTGTAGTTGTTAAATTGGTGTCCTTGGGGTGGGGGTCGATCAGTGGAACCTTCTCTTCTGCTGTCTTGCTCCGCCCCATGTTTTGGTTTGTTTTTGTTAGGGGTCAGTAAACCTGTTGTTGGCGATGGCCAGATAATCAGTACTTTGTGGTTTTAGAGCCCTGTAGTCTCTGGGTGTTGTACGGCAGAAGCAGCCACTGACAACGTGTGAGTGACTGAGTTTGTTTATCTATGAGCACTGAGGTGCTGGGATCTCGTATTCACGCTGTTCCACCGCCATCACTGCCATTCATAACTCCAAAACTTTTTCTTTTTCTTGGCGGGGGAGTGGAGCAGGGTCTCGCTCTGTTGCCTAGGCCGGAGTGCATCATGGCTCCCTACAGTCTTAACGATCCTCCTACGTCAGCCTCCCAAGTAGCTGGGACCACAGGTGCGCATCACCATGCCCGGCTAATCTTTTAACTTTCCTGTAGCGACGTGGTCTCCTTAGGTTGCCCAGGCTGGCATCAAACTCCTGGCGTCAAGCGTTCCACCCACTCCTGCCTCCCAAAGTGTTGGGATTACAGGTGGGAGCCGCCATGCCCAGTCTCAGAACTTTTTCATTATCCCATCCTGAAACCCTGTCCTCATGAAACAGTAACTCCCCATTCCTCCTTCCCCCGCAGCCCCTGGCACCCACCGTTCTATTTTCTGTGTCTGTGGATTTGACTAGTCTGAGGTGCCTCATGTCAGTAGAGTCATGCTGTGTTCGTCCTTTTGTGTCTGGCTTTTTTCACTTAGCATAATGTCCCTGAGGTTCTCCCGTGTTATAGCCTATGTCAGGACATTTGCAGCTCAGTTCATTTCCAAGGAATTGTCCTACATGCAGGGGGTTTTAGGAACACAGGTAACTTCACTTCCCATTTAAAGAGCGAGGATTTCTCCCGAGGTCCTGAACAGGAAGAGACTGTGAGGCATTGGCGTTTGGAAGGAAGTGTCTCTGAATTAGAAACGACTGTCAGATGAAGAGGGACAGTTCAGTGTGGTACCCGGGCCTGCCTCTCCAGAGAGCCCCAGCCTCTTTGCCTAGTTCCCACTCTGGGCCCCTGGGCAGGTGACCCACAGCTGCACATGGGTTTCCTGGGAAGCCACAGTGCTGAGGATCTTGGGAGAGAGGCTCAGGATCAGAGCCTGGGGAGTGCAGGAGCTGGGGGGATGGGGGGGGATGCTGCTTTGGGGATTGGGAGGAGTGGGCTGGGGCAGGATCACAGAGTCTTTAGCTGAACCCAGGGGTGCTCTGGGTCTGGGCTTGTCCTGACCCAAGTCAAGGGGCCCAGGCCTTTGTAAAGGTCCACATTGCCCATTCACTGGGGCCTGGCTTTGGGTGAGGGTGGCAATTGGAGATCCGGGGAAAGCCCTGAAGGGGGATCTTGGCCACACATTGCTGCATCTGCGACACCAAGTTCTATCCCACCTGTTGTTGGCTGTTCTGGAAACCAGCACTGAAAAATACGGAAGTGGAAAAGTTTTCCAATTTTTTTTCCTGCTTTGTTTGGGTTTTTTGGAAAACAATTTCAAAATTAGCATATGGCTTGTTAAAATTAAATCACAAAGGAAGTGCCTATGGTAACGTTTTGATCAGGCTCTAGGTCTGTGTGAACCACAGCTCATATTTGAAAGTCCAGCTTTATTGGGACATAGCCGTGCCCATTGTTTTCTGTGTCCTCTGTGGCTGCTTTAGCGTGCCACCAGGGCAGACCTGGGTGGGTTGCAGCCAAGATGGCATGGCCCTCAAGGTCCGACATGTTTACTCGCTTGCCGGTCCTCTGTCATCTCTGGTCTTTGTGGTTGCCACAGTTTTCTTGGATCCATGAGTTAAAGGCAGTCCTGAGGGATGATGGCTTCATCTCCGCAGTTGCCTGGAACGCTGAATTTCAGACATGCTAAAGGAGGGGTCGCAGACATTGTGTGGAATGCATTCAGACCCCGGATGTGGGTGTAGGAAGGCAGTATGGACACCTGCCAGGTGCCTGCCACACTGGGCATGGCATAGCCAGGTAAAGACTGGTTTCCAGGCCCAAGAGGCCTTCAGCAGCTGTGTGCCTTGTTTGTGATGTCGTTTGGGAGTAAGAATAATGTAGACATGGGGGTCATGAGGCTCAGAGTGAAAACTTCAGTGAAACCTCCATGGCATGGTCGGGTGCAGTGACTCATGCCTGTAATCCCAGCGCTGTGGAATGTCAAGGTGGAAGGATCGCTTGAGGCCAAGAGTTGGAGACCGGCCTGGGCAGCATAAGGAGACCCTGTCTCTACCGGAAAAAAAAAAAAAAAAAAAAGACCGGGTATGGTGGTGCCCTCCTGTGGTCCCAGCTACTCAGGAGGCTGAGGCGGGAGCCCGGGAGGTTGAGGCTGCAGTGAGCCAATGATTGCACCATGGCACTCCAGCCTGGACCACAGAGCAAGACGCTGTCTGAAAGAGGGGGGAGAGAGAGAGAGAGAGAGAGACCTCCATGGCAGATGCATAGGGGAATGGGTTAATATCTAGAAATAACGCTGAGTTGTGGAGTAAAGAAAACCCACAAAAGAATAGAATACCTGATGAATGTGGGGAAAGCACTTATGAGCTCCTCTAGTTTTAGAAGACCTAAAAAGGCGATTTAAAAAAACGAACAGGAGAGCCCTTTTATTGTTGATGTCTTCCAAAAAGAACGTGCATTTATAAGCCAGGTGGTATTTTAATGTCACGAGGGGGTCCATTCTCCCATCTGTCCCCTTTGCTTTTGTTAGAGTCAGTAGCTCCTGGGTCTGCTTGACATTGGAGAGGATACTGCGTGCAGAAAATTTTGTTTAATTATAATGATTTGATTTTTTCCTTCTGTATTCAAGTTTGCCTGCTTCTAATGAATTGGCAGAAATGAAGAGCTTTCTCAGATTTTGCCAGGACCATTTAAAAGCAATTAAAATCAATTTAGTTATTAAATTTGAAATTACTGTCTGGCTAAATGATAGTTTAAAATTCAATTTATACTGGCACTTACTTTTTAATGAACAAACCATGTCACACATTTTTATGTTCTCAAATTATCTGTGGCTTTAAAAGCTGTAAAAAAAAAGGTGCTCTTTTAAAAAAGCCCTGCATGTTTCCTTTTTCCTCTCTACTTCCGCTAAAATATTTACATGTTTCTTTTAAAATAAGGTGAGAAAATCCCCTTGACTTATCAATTTTAAGAAACTATACTTATCTTTTCATCACAAATGTTCATTTATCTGTGTTGAAGTCAACCCAAGAAATCTTAAAATATAACGGAAAGAAAATGTTTCTGGATTTTTTCCCTAGAATACATATACTTTTAAATGGCACGTTTTACCCATTGGCCTTAATTCCTCCCTCCCCCCATTACATTTTAGATGTGTTCAATGAAACGTAGTCCTCCCCCTTTAAAAAAATGGACCGAGCATCACGTGTGAGGCTGCAAAGAGGCTCCCTGCCAAAGCATCTTATCTGCCGCTGGTAAAGCCCCGCCCCTCCGTCAGCAGCTAACCCTTGAGCGGGATGTGTGCTTGTGCCGGGTGCATTGCATTAAGAGAATGCAACTGAATAGAGAAGGATCAGGACCTTTTGTGCAGAGGTGGGGAGTGTTAAAAAGGGGGAGGCCTGGGTGGGAGGGTGGAGTTAGTGGGAGATGGGTATGCTTAGTGCTTAAATTCCCTGCATTCCCTAACATGAATTTAAGAAACTCACACAGTAAATGAGTCAGGGAGAGAGAGACAGGGAGAGAGGGAGGGGAGAGGGAGAGTTCCTTTCATTCATGACACGATGAACTTTGCATGCGTCGGAACAATTTACATTTTTCCTTATTTCTAGGTACTTTTTTGAACTAAGAACCTGGAGGGTGTGTGTGTGTTGGTGTCTGTGTGTGTGTTGGTATGTGTTGGTGTGTGTTGGTGGTGGGGATTTTTTGCCTTGTATTTCATAAATATTTCTTGGTTGATTAAATGTCAATAATCTCTCATTTCTGGTTTGTAAAGCTGTTACCTGATCCTTGAATACCACAAATATTTTGTACATTCAGAATAATTGAGAGAAAATAAAGAACGACGACAACAAAAAAGACACAAAATAATAAGCATCTCCACTTATTTAAGAAGAGTAGATCTCTGCTGGGTGCTGTGGCCCATGTCTGTAATACCAGCACTGTGGGAGGCCGAGGTGGGAGGATCCCTTGAGTCCGGGAGTTCGAGATCAGCCTGGGCAAAATAATGAGAGCCTGTCTCTTATTTTCTTCTTTTTGAGACATGGTCTCACTCTGTCGCCCAGACTGGAGTGCAGTGGTGCTATCTCAGCTCACCGCAACCTCCACCTCCCGGGTTCAAGTGATTCTCCTGCCTCAGTCCCCCGAGTAGCTGGGATTACAGGTGCGCACCACTACTGCCCAGCTAATTTTTATATTTTTAGTAGAGACGGGGTTTCACCACGTTGGCCAGGCTGGTCTCGAACTCCTGACCTTAAATGATCCACACCCCCCTTGGCCTCCCAAGGTATTGGGATTACAGGTGTGAGCCACTGCGCCGGGGTGAGAGCTCTCACACCCTGTCTTTTAAAATAAGCTGTCTGTGGAGTGGGAGGAGAGGAGAAGTAGATCCCCGGCCATGCTGAAAGGTTCATGCGGCAGCCTCCTGAGCTGCGCACATGCTTCTGGAGCTTTGGGTGGACATTCAGTCTGTATGTGGATCTCTGTCCAAGCCTGCACTGGGAGGCCCTGCCCCAGGAAGCAAAGGCTGCATTTCTTTTATGTCACTTAATGGACTTCTGTCCCACCCTGGACATCTGAGCGTTAATTGATTTGTAAGGGAGGGTTGAGGGAGGGTAAAATTACAATTCTGTATCTTAACATTGGGGGTGAAGCATTTTTACCCTAGAGGAATTCTATCCAAACTCATTAAACACTTTTAATAAGGGACAAAGGGTTGGGACTCAGCGGTTAGGGGGCCAGCCCATGAGCCTCACTCCTTCTCCTCTCTCTCCAGGAATTGAAGAGGGAATCCTTTTGCTCAGCATTCCCACGCCTCCCACGGTCCTGGCACTGAGCCCGCGGGCTTGCCTTAGTCTCCTGGGCTGCCCTAACGCAGCACCACGTGCCAGGCGGCTTAAACAGCAGCCAGTAATTCTCCCACAGTCCTGGAGGTTCTAAGTCCCAGATCGAGGGGTCGACAGGGTTGGTTCCTCCCTAGGCCTCTCTCCTGGGCTTGTAGACACCGTCTTCTCCCTGGGTCCTAACGAGGTCATCCCTCTGTGCGTCTGTGTCCTCATCTCTAGTCCTGTTGGATCAGGGCCCATCCTAATGACCTCGTTTTACCTTAATGACCTCTTCAATGGCCCTAACTCCAAATGAACAGTCACATTCTGAGGTCCTGGGGCTTAGGGCTTCAGCATATGAGTTGGGAGTGGGGATGTAACATGACTAATGTCCACAACAGGAAAACCCATAGAGGCAGAAAGTGGGCTCCTGCTTGCCAGGGCTGGGGACGGGCAGTGTGGGGTGACTGCCAGCCAGCACAGAGTTTCTTCTGGAAGTGATGAAAATGTTCTGGAATTAGACAGCAGTTGCACAACTCCGAATATATTAAAAACCACTGAATTGTACATTTTGAAAGAGTGAATTTCATGGTATGTGAATTGTGTCTCAGTAAAGTTTTTATTAACAAAAACTGTGAGGGTAAGAGGTAAAAGGAAGGGAGTTGAAAGCAGCATCAGGTGTGAACAGCCCATAATTCAGCCCATAGACTAGAGCGCGAACTCCTAGCACAACTGTATGTTGAAGATGTGTGTGAATGCTTGCTTTCCTCGCCCTTCGGCCTGGTTTTCTCTACTTTCCAATTTCATCATACATTCTCTTCCTTCCTCCCCCTCCCCACTTTTTCAAAACGTTTCTTCTAGTCCTTACCTGTGTCTACACAAAATTCCATAAACATAATGCTACAGTTCAAAGAAGTGTTCTGATGTTAGGGAGATAACTTAGGAAAATATTTGACCTTTGGGAAAGTTTTGGTTTACTTCTGAGTGAAAACCCTCCATGAAAGAGAAACTTAAATGCAGTTTTCAAATGCTCCTGAGACATTCCCAGCTGCTGCTTTGGGGAGAAGTGAAGGCAAGACAATTTCCAAGGCAAAGAAGGACCTATTGCAGACAGCAGACCCCAAGTAAAGAAAGGCACAGTGATGGTGGGTATTTGTGCAGTGTTTTGAAAATGTGGAGGTCAGGGATGCTAGCTTACCAGGCCGGCATGATCGAGTTATGAGAACTGGAGACCAGGACACTGCCTCTGCTGGCTGTGCTGCTCCGGGCTCCTTCGAAAGGGGAAGCAACTGGTGTACTGACTTGGGCTGTGGTTAAATTGGGCTCCCGTAGGTGCTATGAAGGCTCTGCAGAGCCAGGGATGCTTGTACCCTGGAGAGACCTTGCTCCAGGAGCTCAGGAGCTGGTAGGGGCAGTGACAGTGAAGCACTGGCTTGCCGTGCCCAGTGCTTGGGCAATGCTGAGCTCAGAGGGAGGAACCCAGAATCATGCGGGAGCAAGGGAGGGAGGCAGGCGAAGAGAAGGGTTGCCCAGGAGCCTGCAGGCTGGGTCAGTGTTTTGTCAAATTGTCTTTTCCTGCTTTGCTGTCTGATCCCACTAAAGACTAGCCAGAGAGATGCAGAGGTGAAAAATGGTGGACAGCCATTTTTCTCCCTTTCACTGTGACTACAATGTCTGTTTCATATCAACAGCAACATCTGTGCAGGCATCCTAATGAGTATAAATAAGGTTTTCAGAAAACTGGGTTTGTGAGGCTCCTGTCATCTGAATTTCTTTCATCATTTAAGTGTGATTTTTTACTTACTGACATTCAGTTGTTATTTAGTGGCCACCTATTATTCATATAGGGTTCTTTATGTGCTTTCTGTGTACATTTGTTTTCGTGCTCATCGTATTTCAGTGTGACTTACATATAAGATGCACCCATTCTTAGCTATTGTGGACTTTTTTTAAAAAAAGCTTTGTAGAGATATGATTCACATACCAGATATCCATTTAAGTGCCTAATTCAACAGTTCTTAATACCCTAATTAATTAAAAAAAAATACAGTGTTGAGTATTTTCCTTTTCTCCTTTTTCACTAAAGTGGACTCAGGATTGGGGGTAACTGTCAGTCCCTTGGTGTGATTCTTGGCTGCCAGTGTTTACTGGGGACGGGTGTTGGTACCTCCCTTAATAGGATATTGTTAGAGTATTTTACAAATTCTGGTTAAAAAAAATCCCACATGCGATCTCCTGTCTTCCCCCCTCTCTGAGTGTAGGCATTGTCAGCTGCAGTTGTCCAGCATCTCCAGGACTCTTTTCATTTGCAGGATGGAAACAATGTACCCTCTGAGCAACTCCTCCCTGTTTCTCCTCCCTCCAGCTCCCGGCAACCACTATTCCACTCCCTGCTTCTTTGAATTTCACAACTTGAGGTAGCTTGTGTAAGTGGAATTATTTTAAAAGCTGGTTCATGTTAAAGTGCTTAGAACAGAGCTTGGTGAACATCCGGTCAACAGTAAGTACTTTTATTATTCTTTTTATATTACTCTTTTAAAATGAAAAAAAAAAGAGGCCAGACACATGGGCTTCTGTCTTTTCACAGCTTGGGATCTATGCAGACCCAGGCTTCCAGAAGCCATCCCACTTGAATTCTTACTCCCTTTTCCTGTAAAAGAAGCTCTGAAATCCTAATTGTCAAGAAAGCTTTGCCTGCTGTGCATGCCTGAGTAATGTTATTTTTGTCATTATTTGAGAGACAGGGAGGAAGCTTCCAGTCCTCTGTAAGGAAACGAAATCATTGTGCACAGATGTGGTTCTGTTTATAGAGGGAAGGAAATGGAGGTGAAGAGTGTGTGTGGCTTGCAGCCAGGCTTGCGAGTGTGCAGTGGAATAAACGTTTGCCTCCAGAGTTTTAACTGGAAATGTGTCCGAATTCTACCTTCTGTGCACACTGGCCTGAGGTCTCCCCTGCATACCTGATCGTGAAAGTCTTCGGGTGTGTTTGTGAACACGCAGCCCCCCTTATGTGAGAGTCAGCACAAACTTCTAAAGATGCGATGATGAATTCTATCAGAGAAGTCTTTCTGGTTTTGTGAAAATAACCTTGCACTCTTTAATTATATCCAGATGATCGAATCTGGCTCTGATGTCTTGTTAAAATTAATGTTAAAGGACAGTGCCCTTTATATTTCACTTGTCTGGGTATAAACATCCTGGTCTTTAAAGTTGAGTATGTAGGACTACCTCTCTACTTGATTACTCTGAAAAGAGTGTGTAGCGTGAGTTTTTAAAATGGGATTAGTGGGCATACGAGGATCAGAGTGACATCCTTCAATAGATAGTGCTGGTATGAGGATTGGTGAAACTAGAGGTGGGGAATGAGCATTTTGGGTCCTATATCATATTCCCAAGACATTTTCGAATGATTCACCCTTTGCCATCAGAATGGTTTGAAATCGATCAGCCTGAATCCACTAATGTGGGCTGCAGCACATGAATTTTAATACTAGAAGCACACAGTTGTGCTGTGTTTCAAATGAACTCTGGCCATTTGAAGTGAACAGGCATAGGCAGTCTTCTGTGATAACCTCAGTACATATCCTTTCTGTTTTTTAAAGCACCTTACAAGCTGCTGCATTACAGTCATTGTTATTGGGCCATTACAAAAAGCTATCCAATTTTAAGTGTCTTGGATAATTCTTGTTTGCCCTAGCATCAGAATTCAGGATTTTTTTTTTTTTTTTTTTAAGATGGAGTCTTGCTCTGTCACCAGGCTGGAGTGCAGTGGCACGATCTCGGCTCACTGCAACCTCCCCTCCCGGGTTCAAGCGATTCTCTTGCCTCAGCCTCCTGAGTAGCTGGGACTACAGGTACACGCCACCATGCCCAGCTAATTCATGTATTTTTTAGTAGAGACGAGGTTACACCATGTAGGCCAGGATGGTCTCGATCTCTTGACCTCATGATCTACCTGCCTTGGCCTCCCAAAGTGCTGGGATTACAGGAGTGAGCCACTGTGCCTGGCCACAATTGAGCACTTTTATCATGTAGTATTCATGTCTTATTGGCAATGCCCTGTAAAGTTAAATAAGTTACATTTGTTGTGCACAGGTAATAATTATGAGGTAATTTCCACAGAATCCAAGTGCCTCATTGACTTAGCTATAAAATCAAAACAGAGCTAATTCTGATAAGACTAGACACATGTTACTCTTAAAATGGGCTGTCTCCTGGCCACTGTTGTGCATTTAACCTCAGCAGAAGGGGAACTGGGCTGCAGAGTGAAATTACCCGGAGGTCAAATACTGCTAATTTGACTTTTATCATAGAGACATTTTCTCCTCTTGCACCAAGGCAGTGGCTTTAATCCCTCTTCCAGTGGTGAGACAAGAAGTGCAAAGCATTTACAAAAGGCTTTCTCTTATTTTGAATGTGCCGAGAAAGATTTTGAGACCGTTAAGTTACCAATCCTTCTTTTTAAGTCTTGAAGCAATTACTGTAAGGAAAATCCACTAATTTCCTTTCAGAATTACCAAAGACCTCTCATGTGATCATTTGGTACTTGTTGCCATGTAGCCAGTATCATTGAGTGCTTTTACTGTGAGCAAAGCACAGTGCGTTGGGCAGGGAGGGATCCAAAGGGATCTTGATTTTTACCTTTGAGCCATCTGTGGTCTTGAGTGATCTACATGATCTACAAGAGCAATTAAAAGGTCCTAATATTCTTGTTTGGGCATATTGAAAAATTTGCTCTTACAGATAGGTTTCCTCTCTCTACCCCCTACCCCAAGTTTTTTTATTGTGGTAAAATACATATAACAGAATTTGCCATCATAACCATTTCCAAGTACACTGTTCAATGGCATTAAATATTCATAACATTGTGCAATCCTCACCACGATCCATCTGCAGAAGTTTTTCATCATACCAAACAGAAAACTGCCCCATTAAACACAAACTCCCTGTTCTCCCCTCCCCACAGCCCCAGCAACCACCGTTCGACTTTCTGTCTCTATGATTTTGACAGTCTAGGGACCTCTTATATGTGGGATCATATGGTATTTGTCCTTTTGTGTCTGGCTTGGCACAACGTCCTCAGTTTTCGTCCATGTCATAGCATGCGTCAGAATTTCCTTCCTTTTTAAAGCTGTATAATATTCCAGTGTATGGATGGACTACACTCTGTTTATCCATTCATCTGTCAGAGGACACGTGGGTGGCTTTCACCTTTTGGCTGTTGTGGATAATGCTGCTATATGAGCATTGGCATATGTTTGCTTCTCATTGATTTAAGTTTACATAGCCATGTGTGGCTAGTGGCTGCTGTGTTGGACAGGACAACCCTAGGCTTGATAGCCCTGGGGACCTAGTTTGGGTGGGAAGGCAGGGGTGGCCTGCAGTGAGTTGTGGGCTGGGGCCTTGGTGAGAGCCAGATCTGGGTTGTGAGGCCACTCGAGGCAGGGGGAATGGTGTGGCGGGAAGTGAGGGCCAAAATGAGAATTTCAGAGTTGAAAGCTTTGGAAGTAACATGATGCTCTATGACTGTGACCAGACTCAAACTGCACCAGCGTGCATCTGAGATCAGGTCATTGGCGTTGAGGGCCTGGTGGGGGCGCCAACTCCAGTGAGCATTATGAAATGCTCACTGCTTGGGACGTTTGCACTGTGCTTGATGTCTGGAGGTTCCATTAATGTTAAAATAGCAATTATGGGACTGGACATTAGGTTTAATGTCTGGGTTTTTTCCACCGTCTTCAAAAGCCCAGGTCTTAGTAGTAACCGTGCTGCTCTCCATTTTAATAATTTCAGCCTGGTTTATGTTGCTCAATAGCAGAAAAGCGGTTCAGATTTCCCTTGGATATCATGGGCCATGTTTGCCCAGGTGTCCTTTATTATTGGGAGCTATGACATAGTTAACACAGATTTCTCCAAGGGCATCGACTGGGAAATTAGTTTACCAAAGATAAACTTGGTAAAAGGAAAGTTTTTATGTGTGCTATCCTTAAACTAAGACACATCTGTTGAAATATTAGGACGTGTCCAGCCTCCCATCCTCTGCTGAAACTTTAGACTGTATGTCCTTCAGATATCTTCTCTTTGGTGCTTTGTTTGTGAACAGATTAGCCTCATACTTCCTGGCTTGTAAAACTGCTATCCTATCTCTTGCTCAATGCTTTTCTTGTACCGAAGGGTGAGGGGGAGGTTCCAGCTCTGTTTTCGGTATCAGTTTCCTGGGTGATGTTTGTTTGAGGGTGCCTTGTGTCCAGAGCCCCAGAGGGTGTTTCCGTTCTCTGATGAACCTGAAGTCCGCATGCTTTGCCTTTGGTAGGGAAAGGCAGCTGGGGAAAGGTTGCATGACCCAGTGCCAGGGTGCCAGAGTGCATGTGCACCTGCTGGGGAGAAGCCCGCTGGGGCCCCTCCTCTCAGGACAAGATAAGGCCTCAGGCAGTGCAGCAGATGGAGGGCTTAGCTGTCCTTGCCAGCAAAAGCTGCTGGGAATGTGGCGCTCAGATAACAGTACGGTTGAGAAGCGGTGAGTTAGGGTTACTCTGATGGGAGATATTGAGAGGAGGGGATGACAGTCTTGATTTCTGTTCCCTTTGTGAATCTTTTGGTGGCCAAAATGAGGAAAAGGATACATTGTGTTTGGGGATGACAAGGAACATCTAGGCACATTGCATACTTGATGAAATGCACAAAGAGCTTCCTGTGACCTTTATCACAAGAGTGTGGTTCCATGAAGGTCGTAGGTACAATAGAAATTGTGTTGGTCTGAGAGGTACTCAGATTAGGGTGCATTGTGTCACCACCATTTTGCACAGCTGTGGCACCTTGTCAAGTTAACCTTTTCCTGCTTGGTTTCCTAATCGGAAGAATGAAGTTGACCATATCTCCTCCATAAAGTTGTTGTGTGAGGTCAATGAGATTACATAGGCAAAATCTTGGTGCAGGGGCACTTGGTAAAGTTTAGTTTCTGTTATAAATGTGTGGGGTATTCTGTGATGGATCCTACTCCCCTTTTCTCCTCACGGCTAAGGTCTACTTATTCTTTGGCATGGCTCAGATATCAACTTCCTCAGGCAGCCCCATTTCCCACCCAGATGGCTTTGTACTACTCATCAGTGTTCTGGAAAATGCTGAGAATATTTTTTATAGCACTTCTGGGTTGGTTTGTGATAGTCTTTTGAGATATCTGTCTCCTCACCAAACTGTTCTTTGTGTCATGGGCAGGCCCACGCCATCCTTGTCTTTGTAGTCCTGCACCTGGCACAGAGCCTGGCACATAGCTCAAACAGGTGAAGACTGGGTTATTACGTCTTCCCCCTCCAACCCCTTCATTATCAAGTTGTGGGCAGGGCATGTCCCACCAAATGCAAACCCTACTAGACAGTACAGCTGAGACTTGGAACTAGACTAACCCAGTGACTCAGGAATGTGCCACAGAACATACTTGGCTCTAGATGGGGTCTTAAAAGACATTCATAGTTGCAGGCAGAACAGAATATCCAGAATAGG